CAGCGTTGGCGCAGAGGCGGATGAGATTTGATCTCATTTGCTGAAGAGGGGTTGAAAGGGAGGAGATTTGGAAGTGTTGGGAGGTGGGGGAGATGCACGTGACCACCAGCTCTGTGAAGAGGCTGTCCACATGGCTGCAGGGTTTGAGGCTTTCAAGGGCACAGATTTTGGCGTACAAATCGCACACTTTTTGGATCACAGCCTCATCCTCGCAAACCATGTCGACACTATGAGCTTAAAACACAGCACACAACTTTTACAACACACAGAGAAGCAAGAGGTATTGGGTAATGGGGGAGGAGTTCTTAATTTGCACAGGGTTTCTGATGCTTGCCCTTTATTTATTGACATTTCAGAGGGGGTTGTGGGGTCCATATGCAAGGGTTTTTGAATTTTGGAACACAATTCTAAATTCTATTTTGGTGGTTCAAGTTTAGGGGTAGGGGTAGGGGTTTGGGTGTGAGATGCCGAACCCGTGTTTGTCTTATGCATTTGTGTTACGGGCGATTTCTATAGTTGTATTGGCGATGAGAGAAATAATCCAGGTTTATTGTAAACCCTTGTTAAGTTATTAGGCGAGATCCTTAACAATAGATAGATAAATTAAACATTAGTTTTGGCCAAAAAGTGAGATGAGAATCAAATTTTTTTAGTAAGTGGAGGTGAGAATCGAACTTACAACCTCTTTGTTGGGGATGTATGTTAATTATTGTTGAACTATGCTTGTTTTGGCGAGATGAAAATCAACTTACCACCCTTCATAAGTGAACTTTTACCTATATATATATATATGGTTTGATATTAGTCTTACATTTTTATATGTATTTAGTATAGTGCCTAGGTCATAATCTATTTTCCAACTTGTTAATACACAAGTGATCTATACAAGTGTTAGTTAAGATTATCATTAAATTTTCTATAAAAATTTAAGACCCTAAAGAAAAGAAATGCAGTTTATATGAAAAGTTTGGGAATCAAAATATCTTAAAAGCATAAAAATTAGATTAGAATAAATGTAAAAGTTTTAGGCTCTAGAATAGAATTAATCGATATGTTCATTTTTTTTTCTCCAAAGTAAAATGAAGCCAAACTGAATATATTTTTGTTCCAAACATTCACCCCATTTGGTATTTTGGTTCTTAACTTCCATTTCAAGTTATTCTTTTAATAATCAAAACAAATTAATTATATAAATATCTAATTATAAAATTAATACTAACTTTAAAATTATTTTCTCAAACAATTTCAACTTCTCCCCACAAAAGTAAATGAAAAACAAAAAAAAAAGTTATATGTTATTTTTTAGGTACCACCGGTGGGGTTGAAGATTTGAATTAAGCTTAGATTTGCAGGGACTAGACACGTTGACTAGTTGAATTATAATGCATCTATTTTTTTTAATAAAAAATTAATTACAATGAAATAATAAAACTGAAGAGAATTATAGCAACAATACAATGCATCTAACTCAAAGGAAAATCAAAAAGAAAATGCTCCTAACAGTTTGAAGATTATCCAAATTTGAGCAATTTATGTGGCTAAAATCAAATTTCTCTAACACAATCAACTGTTAATATTGTCTTTCGACTTTTTGCCCTGAAATATTTCTATAATAATATAATATTGTCTCCTTTAAATTTAAACCAGATTTTGCTGAATGTGACTGGAAAAAGTTTTATAGCAGTAGAAACAGAGTGTTATTATTATATGTTTATGTATAACAAAGATATCTTCATATACTTCTACCTAATATTGTGGGACGACTCTTCACATTTCCAACAAAAACACAAAAATAGTACATTATGTATGTTAAAGTACAAAGATATTAACTGTAATTTATATTTAGTTTTTTATATATATCACATGCATATCAACTTAATTAGGATTATTTCTAATGTATAAGGATATATATACATACATATATACACATATATCAGATACAAACATGGAAGTAGTTCAACTTAAATTTTATGGAATTGAACATGAGAGTTTTCTTATAAATTATCAAATTAGGGTTGTTCTTTTGATAATTGCTTTACATAGCTCTAATTTGTTCTATAGATTTTTTTGGAGTATTATATTATAAATAAAGGAAAATTTATTCAAAATTGTAAGTTATAAAAAAAGTGTTAATATCAAACCACACGCGAGATACGCTCAAAATGGTAAAATTTTAGAGGAAATACATATCAACTTAATACACACAACTTGAGTGCAAAAATTATTCTTGTCTTGTTCTTAGAAGAAGAAGGAAAAGAAAAAAAAAACTATTCATTGTGGCTCTACAAATACACAAATGGGTGTCACAATTTGATATATATACTTTTTTCTGGGAAGGACGCAATTTGATATTGTTAATGCTATATGTGCAAGAATGACCTCATCCATATTCTAATCATCTTTTATTTCTAATAGTACACACTTTTATTTTGTTTTTTTTTTCATCTCTCTCTTTTTTGGGTAGTAAACAAAACTAATTTTTTAAATAAAAAAAAGTGTTATTAATATCCATATTCATGGATTCCATACCAAAATAAATTAACAATGAGATAAGTAGCCGACTTTTCAATGTAGGATCATCTCCATCACCCGTTGGCCATGTGGCCTAAGTGAGCTATCCATGACACATGCACGTGTCACATCACGTGGGTGAGCAATGTCGAGCAACACAAGTGTGTCAACATTGCGCCTCGTCTGATTGGTAATTAGAGGTTGCACCATATGATCGTTGCCCGGGATGGTATGTTCAAGTGAGATGACATTGGCGCGAGAGTCATCATGCCTCGACAGTACTGTTGGATGGATGGATGCCCGGAAGGCTCAGATCATATGTACGAACCCATGGGTCGATTTTCGATAAGTGTGTCCGAGCGAGCAATGATGTCCGATGACACCCCAATGCTCGAGGTGGCATCCTAAGTACCAGTGGGTACTCGGTAAGTGAGAAAAAGCTAGAGTCGTAGCTTGGTAAAAGGCAAGACTCATACCGGTTGACAATCTAGTCATTCCTTGCTTGGATCTTGGAAGTGTCTAATGACCCTGATAAGCTAGTTACGACGTAGTTAAGTGGTAGGAATCACTCAGTAACCGTTTTAAGCTAGTTCTGACCCAGTTAAAAGTCAGAACTCATCCAAGTAAGGTCCTAGCTTAGTGTAGAAGCAAGACGACTGAGTGGTTGAGAACCAAGATGATGGAATTGAGTTGTGACATCAAGTTTAGAGGACCTTGGCCTAGCGTAGAGGCAAGGTCGTGGGACTTGGCCTAGAGTAGAGGCAAGCTAGATAGAGTCTCGAAAGAGTTGAAATGAACGTACATGCGACGTGCATTTGCAGAGCAAAACAAAGTTCTCATGGAGTGAAGCTCAATTGAGGGAGAAAGAACTCACCTAAGGTCCAATAGAGCCACAAAGAACACAAAAAGTGTATTGGGGCTAGAGTTCCCTTAAAGTCGGCCATGATCGTGCTAAGATTATGGCTTCACACCATCGAAAAAAATATGACCGTGACATATGGTATATTCAAAAACTCAAATGAACATCTGGTCCAAAAATAGGATTCGGTCAAGATTGGTGAACCCAATTAAAGAAGCACCATCTTGAGGGAGCATGCTTAAGGATCCCATATTGATAAGATAAGGGACCTAATTGTCAAGACGAACCCATGAATATTGATAATTAAATACGCTGAAATTTTTACAATTCAAACATATGGTAAAAATTTGTTTTGAGGCTCTGGTTAGCATCGTCAAATAAGACATTTTTTCTATTTTTTTCTTTTTTTTCATTAAAAAATAAGTGCGTAAATACGACCTTAACTATAGGCTAAAATATATGTTTCATATCGTTTGAATTATATAAAATATTATTGTAGGGCAGATTGTATGCTCATTTTCGATCAAAAGTTTCATTTTAACCTTTAAGCTTCGTAGTTATATAATAAAAATTCCTCGTTAGCTTCCCACTTAAAACCAAAATGGAGTTTTGACTTGACAGCTAAGTTGTAATTAATCAAATTGTAACATAGATGTTTAGGGAAAAAAAAAAAAACAAAAAGTTAAATGGGTACAAATGGTTATTATTTTTCTTTACTTTCTCCCTTTCTCACGAAGATAAAAAAATTTGGTCCTCCCTCTCATAGTCCGTAAATAAAAATTAGGGCTAGAACTCGAAACATGTTGAGGATAATAGCACCAAACTCATCTTAAATATCATTAGAGAAAAAACAATTGTCTTATATTTAGACCAATGTTGGTGTTAGTAAATGAATGTATAAAACTTTGGAGAGTTAAAACATAACTTTTAAAATAATATTGCTATGATTAAGGCAAACTCTATAGTTCACATATATTATTTGACATAATATTTAGCCGTTCTCCGGAATAGCTTGGGGCCTCAAGAAATAACTTTGAAGATTTTGGACTCAAATCACATAGGATGCAACTTCCATCAAACAATGATCCAGCACCTTAACATATTGGTCAAAGGGGATCGTTGACTCCTGGGTAATAAAAAATTATCTCTCAAAGACAATTAAATTTAGAATCATTTTGAAACCAATTAGTTAAATAAATAAATAACAGTGTTGTAATATCACTTACAAAACCATCACTTACCATGTATATGTGACCTTGTGTTCAAATTCTGCCTTGGTCGCAGTGTTGCTCAGATCATGCAATGAGTTTCGATTATAGGGATCCACTAACGTAAGTTACATGACATCAATTATGAGAAATAAAAAAACAACCTTAAGGACAAAATAAAAATCCTGAAATATGTATACCCTTCAACATATGAGCCACGTAACCTAATTATTAATAGATTCTCACCTTGTTACCATCATTTATCACAATGTCAAATTAACAAGAAAATATCACCCTAAGAAGCATGAAGTTTTTAGTTTAAATCTTCTTCACCTATAAAAATAATATATATATTTTCTAACTTTTATATTTAATAAACTTGTTCTTTATCGTATCTCTTTCCTATATTTTTTGTGTCACCATGTCCATATTGTAACAAAGTGTCTCAAATTCGTGCTTTTCCGATTTTAATTGTCCATTTTATTCTATCATTTTTTGAAATGTCATGCCAAATCAGGTATCATTTGTTCAATAGACACGTGTCACAATGTCATTTAATTAATCATTTAACATAAGGAGAAACGTAGTTAAGATTCATAATTTAATTAAGATAAAAGGATTTGATTGATTTTCTTAAATTTAAAGATTAAAATAGACAAACAATCATCAAATTTAGGGACACTGAATTATAATTCTAACCTTAAAAAAACCAAAAGGGTAC